ATAAACCTTTCCCCTATTCTGATATAAACAGAGAGATGTCAGCTAAAATGTAACAATTTCTTAAATAGTGAAACTCAAAAGAAAAGAAGAAACTTTTGACTCCAGAAAGATTAAGATGCAACAAGCTGACTATGTGTGACAGTAGTTGTGAGGTGACACCACCAGGAATGTGAGAGTGTTTTAAATTCTGCTTTGAATAAGGATCAGGATTTAAAGCTTGGGGTTCTAATTTCTGTACAATAATGGGTGAAGCAGGGAAGTGGGGAGCTAGAAATGAGATTCTGTCTAGTCTTACAAAAGAATTCTAGAAAAGTATTCACTTGTCCAGAGAATGGTGAAGGGGATTATAGTTTGTTCAGCATTTGATAAGGGGAAATTTAATTGTGAGATTTGGAAATTTTGGATCTTATACCTTACAGAGGTTGAATAGGAAATAAAGGAATCATATAAGTGAGTTTATGCCAATAAATTAAACAACATAAGTAAAAAATTTCTTGAAAAGCACAACATGCTAAATTGACTTAAGAAAACAGAAAGTCTAAATAGACCTATACCTATTTAAGAAATTGAACTCAATAAAGAAAAAGAAATTTTTGGACCATTACTATTAGCACCTCCAGAACTAAGCCAGGAGTACAGGCCAAATTTCTTTATATTAGGTTCTTACCCAACTAAAGGTATTTGAAAGTCCCATAAAACAAATATCCCTGTCCCTACTGAAGTAAGTTCACACACAAAAAATAAGAAAATAAATAACTACTAAGGAAAGGAGATTAGTCAAGCAGAATTAATCCCCAAGAACTGAAAATGATACAATATTTGAAATAAACTGCAAAATTAATATGTTTAAAATAATTAAGAGCTTAAAGAAGGTAGGGTGTCTTATCATGAAAACAATAAGACATTATGGAAAAAGAGCCAACAGATTTGGAATAGAACCAAAGTGAACTTCAAGAAATGAAATTACCTCAAACTGAAAATTTTAATGAGCAGGCCATACCACCACTGCCAGCTCAGAGGAGGTGAGCCACATGGGTGCCAACAGCACCCCCCACCAGCTGAAGTGAGAAGACATACAAACAAGCCTCAACACCAGACTCCCAGATCACCTACAGCAATCCCAAAGGGAAACAAGATGGAACACTGATACTCAACCACCTGGACCCCCTGAACTGGCAACAAAAGAGGATCTGGAAAAAATGAAGTCAGAAATAATTTCTCAGACAACAGCAGAGTTTGTGTCCATAGTGCAAGACATGATTAATAAATCTAGAGAGGAGCTGAGGAACATGATGAAATCCCAACATAGGAAATAAACAGAATCCATAAAACAGATGCAAATAGATTTCCACATTAAAAACTCCACTGAAAGTCTATGCAGCAGAAAGAGCCAGTGTGAGGACCGAATTTCAGATATAGAAAATAAGATTGCAGTTAGTGACCAGGAAAAGAAAAATTTCTTTAAAATTGTAAGGGACCACAAGAAATCAATCCAGCAGCTGCTAGTTGATGCAAAGAAGAATAACATAAGACTGATTGGAGTCAATGAAGAAACAGGAGAGAGTACAGATGACATAAAAAAACTGTTCATAGAAGTGATGGCAGAAAACTTCCCAAGGAGGGGAAAAAAACTGGACATATAGATAAGGGAAGCATATAGGAGTCCAACTAGCCTTGATCAAAAAAAATCTACACATAGGCATATTATTGTTAAGATTCCAGAAACCCAACAGAAGAACAAAGTTCTACAAGCATTTAGAGAAAAGAAACAAATCACATACAAAGGAAAGCCCATCAGAATCACGGCAGACTTCTCAACACAAACCCTCAAGGCAGGAAGAGCTTGGAGTGATGTATTTCAAGCCCTAAAGGAAAACAGCCTCCAACCCAGATTGATGTACCCTGCAAAACTATCTTTCAAAATTGATGGAGAAATAAGATACTTTCATGATAAAGAGCACCTTAGGAACTTCATGAATTCCAAACCAGCACTCCAAAAAATTTTAGACAATATCCTAGGAAAAGACAATGAGGATCACAACCTCAGGAAGCCCAGCAGAATGAATCCATTGGGAATTACAAGAAATTAAACACAAAGGGGGAAAATCCAACAAAAAGAAAAAGTCATGACAATGATAAGTCAATACGTATCAGTTATAACCATCAATGTAAATGGTCTCAATTTACCAATGAAAAGAAATAGAGTGGGGCAGGGGAATTAGCTCAGTCATTCCACCACCTGCCTTGCAAGAACAAGGTCCTCAGTTCAATCCCTGGTACCAAAAAGAAAAAGAAAAAGAAAAAGAAATACACTGGCAGAACGGGTCAAGAAGCAAGATTCAACAATGTGCTGCATATAAGAAACACACTTAATTAAAAAAGAAACTCATAGACTGAAAGTAAAAGGGTGGAAAACAATACTCCATGTGACAGGAACCCAAAAAAAGCAGGAGTAGCTATCCTCTTTGCAGGTTAAGTGGATTTCAAACCAACACTGATTAAGAGAGACAAAGAAAGACACTACATCCTTTTAAAGGGAACAATCCAACAGGAAGAGATGAGAATCATAAATATATATGCACCAAACACTAGTGCACCCAACTATATAAAACAAATACTAACGGACGTTACAAATCATATAAGCACTAATACAATAGTAGTGGGGGACCTCAATACCCCACCGTCGCAAATAGATAGATCAACTAGACAAAAAAACCCCAACAAAATACTAGAATTCAATCAAACCCTTGAACAAATGAACTTAATAGATGTTTAGAGTGTTCCACCCCACAAAATCAGAATAGACATTCTTTTCAGCTGCACATGGGTCATTCTCCAAAATAGACCACATGCTCACTCATAGAACATATTTAAGTAAGTGCAAAGGAATTGAAGTTATCCCCTGTATATTATCAGACCATAGTGTGAAGAAATTGGAGATCAATAGCAAAAGAAACTGCAAGAAGAAATCATACAGTTCCTTCAATTAAATGACAATGCCAATACAACATATCGAAATCTATGGGACACAATGAAAGCAGTCTTATGAGGGAACTTCATAGCAGTGAATCCTCATATTAGGAAAACAGAGTGAGCCCAATTAAACAACCTGATGCTGAACCTCAAGCTCCTAGAAAAGGAAAAGCAGGACAAATTCAAAGCTGAGAGAAGGGAGGAAACTATAATGATCAGAGCAGAAATCAATGTAATGGAGATTAAGAGAACAATACACAAAATTAATGAAGCCAAGAGTTGGTTCTTCAAAAGAATAAACAAAATTGACAAACCCTAAGCCAACCGTATCAGAAAGAGGAAAGAAAATCCCCCAATCCATGCAATTAGAAATGAAACGGATGAAATTACAATGGACCCAGCAGAAATCCAGAGGATCATCAATACCTACTTCCAGAACCTATACCCCAATAAGATGGAAAACACAGAAGAAATGGACAGATTCCTAGATACATATGAATTACCAAAGTTGAATGAAGAGGACCTAAAAATCCTACATGACCCAATATCAACAAATGAAATTGAAAACATAATTAAAAACTTACCAACTAAGAAAACCCCTGGTTCTGATGGCTTCACTGCTGAATTCTGTAAGACATTTAGAGAGGAACTACTGCCACTATTGTTTAAACTCTTCAATGAAATTGAAAGGTAAGCAATACTCTCAAATTCATTCCTGGAAGCCAGCATCACTGTGATCCCCAAAGCAGAGACAGACCCAACTCAAAAAGAGAACTATAGGCCAATCTCACTAATAAGCATAGATGCAAAAATCCTACATAAGATACTGACAAATAGAATGCAGAAGATCATCAAGAAGATCATACACCCTGACCAAGTGGGATTCATCCCAGGGATGCAGTGATGGATCAACATATGCAAATCAATCAATGTAATACACTATTTTCACAGAGCCAAGGACAAAAGGACAAAAACCATATGATCATCTTAACAGATGCAGAAAAAGCATTTGACAAAATCCAACACGTACTTATGATAAAAACGTACAAAAATTGAAATAGTCTCTACCTCAATCTGATAAAAGGTATCTGTGAAAAACCAACAGCCAATATCATACTAGATGGTCAAAAACTGAAAGCCTTCACACTAAAATCAGGAATAAGACAAGGATGTCCACTATCACCACTCCTGTTCAATATAGTTTTGGAAACATTAGCCACA